GAATTCAAAACAAAGTTTGGGGGTTATAAAAGCCATGTCAAGCAATTTGTATTTAGTGCCATATTGCTTAAAATGTTATTTTTTCTTATCAAATGATTTGTAAACCAAAAACTTGTCAAGCCAGATTTCGAGGCAAGTGTACAAGCGCACATTTCAACACAACAGCAGCAGTTCTCTTTGTAAAGTAAAAAACTTCTGACAAGATATGCTTAACTTCACTTCCTTCCATGATCTAATTCAATTGATAAAACTGTCAGAGGAAGTCCTCCTTAAACAGTATCCTAGTTACCTTCAATTTCTAGACATTAAATTCAGTCTTAAAATGAGAACTAACTCAATTTCGTTTGGAACAAGAATCTTGTTCCGTCTCAGCACTCTCTGGCAACTGACACCTTTCTGGTGTTTTCAGACACCTGACCTGGCTCCTGTTATGATCCAGGTCTGCTGGACATCACTTTAATTGGCCTTAAAAACAACAACAGTTTCAGCAAAAACAACACCCCTGCCTTCTCAGAACGAGACCCCGCGGCTGATGACAAAAAGTAAGGGGATGCGGAAAAAATGGCCTTCAGTTAGAGGCCTCAGTGACTTTATTCTATCCTCCCAGGCCATTTACTGGCATATTCACCATAAAGTAGATAACCTCTAATTAAAATCTTCGTTTGTTTGTTTTTCAAATAAAAATCAGGAAGTTATGTTTAACTGAACTTCTAAACTTAAAATCTTACAGTTTCTTTTCTAATACTGCATGCAAATTTTCACAGCCTGAAAATAAATGCGCCTTTCGTGTTGAGGTAATGTTGAACAACTAAACTAAAATTACATAGTAAACAAATTCCATCATTTCCCTGGCAGATAAACTACTTTTTCTGGGTGGTCCCCCATGAGTCTTTAAACTAGCCTAACATCTCACCAATTCCCTACCTCATGACTTCAAATAAGCCACTCAGATTTGACATGCCAAGGCACAAGCCAATCAGAACCCTGAGAAAATTCCACCCTGTGATTTCAAGCCAATGAAATCGCAAGAATAATTCCACCCTGTCCTTCTATTTTGGAGCAGACTACATCTCCCTGCCTTATTGTGTTATCGCCTACTGCTTGGGTGGGCTGTGTAATTATTGCCAAGCAATCAACTGGTTCTTTTTTACTGCTATTCATTGGTGTAACTGAAGCCAGTCTAGGGCAGAGGCTAATGCTTTGGTGCATACAGCCAGGCTGAAGAAAACAGTATCAGGAACATCTATTTGCTGTGGTGGAAGTTAAAATCATCAGGACTGGGTACTTTGTAAATATAGGGCTCTCAGTGTGCTTATTGCACAAGTTAGGGTAATTTACCTTTTCGAACTTGTCGAGTAACCCTTTATTTTTTACGTCCGAGCAGATCCTGCATTATATCAGGTGAGGCAAGGAAAATGGACAAAAAATGCATTACTCGATAAGGACTGTCTCTAACAGTTGGGACAGCAGTAATGCAATTATCCTTCAACATTTGATCGAGTAATTTACAGGCAGAACTATATTGGACAAGAAAAAAAAAACTGAATTTCAATCAAACAATTATCCCACGTGAATTTTCAACAGAAAACACACTCAATATGAGCTGGCAGCAAAAATGACCTAACAAACTCTTCTCTTTTTTCCCTACAAAGCTTAATATCATGCTATCGTTTCTTCATTTACTGTGCACAACCATTAAGTTTCCTTTGGTAGCATGTGGATTTTACAGCAAGATTAGAAAATACATCTTCCATTTTGAAAGTTATTTGGACAGATATAATTCAATTATGGTGGCAGAATGTATTTCATCCAAATCCCCTGATATATTGATTTGTCTGAGGACCTTTTTTCATTTGGAAATATTGATTTCCCTTTTTTTTTCCAAATCTCTGTATAACAGTGCAGTTTTGGGTTAAGATTATAATTCATTGGATTCTTATTATCCTAATGCTGGATTACTAATTTTGGTGAAATAAAAAAAAATCCGAATGCAAATTAATGGCTGCCACTTCCCAAAATTTCTCCATTTTCCTCCAACACAGTATTCTTGGATGGCAAGACTTGGAATCCATTTACCCATTCAAACAGATAACTGGCGACCTCTGACAGAGAAAAACAGAATGACTCAGCTGCCCTGCCGTGCCACTCAGCTCAGACAGGCAAACAAGTCTCACTGGAAAGAAAATGAAAATCCTTTTGTTTTAGCCAATGAAAAATTGAATTACCTCGTTGCAGCAGACGTAAATCACTGTCAAACTGCGCCACCTTGTCATCCAGTACGGAAAACTAAAGCAATGAATTGGGGCCTTAAAACAGGACAAAAAGGGGGATTTCTCAACCATCCATGTTCAAGGACCTTATTTGTTACAGCACTGCCCTACACAAGTATAGTGCTAAAGTAAGGCATCTGTGACCATTTCGCTCTTCAAAGTTCCTTTTCTGTTCCTATCCCTGTATGGATTAAAATGTGTTCAGGAAACTGACAGAATAAAGTGAATTATTTTCATTAATTTCAACCTACTGGTGCACACGTCTCTTTCTTTCCTTTTTTTACACAGTCACTAGACAAATCAGATGCATAAAAAGTGAAAATAAGGGGAAATATTCAAAATTTTCAACCGTGTAGGCTTCTTTCTCCTGATCAGATATTTTTATTATCAATTTTTACATTATCAACACTGTTAAATAAAAACAGACTCATAACCAAAATATTCTTTACATTCATACTGAAAACCATGACCTTCTACTCAAGACTATAAACCATTTCTTCCTAACGGTGCTCAGTTTACCGGGTTACCGATAATAAAGTTCAAAATGCGTAGATCGACCATTAATCTTGTAACTCTCAATTAAATATTCCCCTCAAATAAAGGAAATCAATAGTGACAAATATGCAGAAAATGTGTTACTGCCTAGGTGTATATGGAAGAGCATGGAAAATCACTACTCTCTCCTCCTGTTTCCATTCAGCTTGCACTTCAACATCATCTATCTTCGCAACCTCTTGAACGGTGTGAATGTTGCCACGATCAGATGTCAGAGCCTTGGAAGAGCAGTAGTATGTTTTCAGTAAAAACACTGACCCAAATCTTACAACATCTAAACATTATCAAAAGGAGCCTTCAGTTTAAACCTAATATGCACCCTTAAGCTTTCAGGCAAATGTCAGTGTGTTAGGATAAAGTGAGTTTTCTCTATCGTAGCTAAGTGGCGCTGTTGAAATGAATCTGCCCTGAGTCACTATGCGTTACTTTGGTGAAAACAGAAGTTTTACGGGCTCAGGTCTCATGGACAGAGGGGGGGACTTTAGGAATCAGAGGGGACTATAAGAAAGAACCACCCTTTTGACTCAAAAATTTCCACTCTGAATCAAAATTTAATCTAGGTGCTTTGCAATTTCTCAACTTGGGATAATTAAGAAGGTAAAGGGGTCCACTTTTTTAGACCCCCCCCCCCTTCCTAGAAAATGCTGGTTAAAGGCCTCACAAGTTTGTGGAATAAAGATTGCCTCAACATCAAATACCTAGAGAAAACAGAGAACACATTGTAAACAAGGCATTGAAAATAATACTGCCAAAAAGATATACATTCTCTTAAGAAAACAAAACAAAAGTAAACTTAAAACAAAAGCAAAATTCCACCAAAATATTGTCTGTTCATAATATGCTACAAAAGTAATCAAACAAAGGGTTCAAAAAAAGAGAACAGTGAATAACTCTAACAGAAAATGTGACCAGAGGTTTTAAGTCCCAGGTTTAAAATAAATAACTTTTTTTTTCCTTATTTTTTTCATAAAGCTTTAGTAACATAGTATTACACTGCACAAAGATGTAGGAGTGGAGACAACAAAGCCAGAGGTATTAGACTTCCTAGGACAATAGTAGTAGTATTAGCGTCACTTTATCGCAGGACATGTCGCAATGCCAGATATGTGGTGTTATGATACAGCATTTCATGGCGTAGAATGAGAGAGTACAGAGTGAGAAAGATAACACTTCATGTGACACCTGGGCAAACGACTTCTGTTACTGAGCCAAACATAAAAATACATTCATCACAAACGTGGCTGAGAAATCCAGAATGCAGACAAAATATTTCCATACGTCTCCCCGTAATAAAAGGGCTTTTCTATCATCCAAGCATCCATCTGCATTCAAAAACATTGGAAAACAGCAAACATCTTGCCAAAATGACCGTCTTTTCTAACATAAGTCACTGTACAGAGGTAACTTTAGTGTTATATTTTTGATAGAACAATATGGAGCAAGTGATTTGTTAGGACAGAATTTGCCACTGTTCTTATTTACTCATATTCTCCACATCAGAGACAGATTCTTGTTGTTTACAGGTGTTATTCTGTTGTTAATAAAACATTCAACAATACGCCTTTACATTTTGAGCACTGTCATGTTGATAACTCTGTCACAATTGTATTTTTCACAGCTGACGATGAAAATGGGGGGGGGGGTTTTGAAAATTGTGACACCAGACTCAGCACTTCCTTTTAACAACCATCAATATAATCAAATGAGACAGGAGATACCAAAGTAGATGTACCAGCCATTCTCCTGTCATCAGATGTATTCAAGTTTGAAGTGCCTACTTATGAATTATGCAATGACTAAATAAAGATGTGGGTATGGGAGGGGGAATGGGGGGGGGGGGGGGGGCGCTCCTGAGTACCAGTGTAACTAGATAATCCATTCATTTACTAGCAAAGAGGCAGATGACCTGAATGACATAACCTAAATAGTGGGATGTAGACCCTGGCAGGGGTATATAGACAGACCCTGACAGTGAGCAGTTCTACATAACAATGCCATTTTGGATATGGCATGACTCCAAAAACACTCCCTTTCGACAAATAAGATCTATTTACAGGAAAGATAGACACCATCATGGCCTGCTCAAATACCTGGCCTTAGACGTGTTCTTGGGCCTAAGTATTTGAATTGTGGTGTCCTTGATTTGTAGTATGAATAAACATTGTCATGCTTTACCTGGTGTGACAGATTCCAGTATCCATGGCAACAGCAGGTAACAGGATAACAGCCACCGCATGTGACACATGGGTAACTCCATACTGCTTGGCTTTGGACAACTTGGGTTTAGTGGTTTTAGCGTCTCTCTGCTGTTTTTATTGTCTCAGCTTCATCTCCTGCGAAAATAAATGAAATCAATTGAAACAACATTATTGATATTATTGTTGTGGTGTTATGAAACAGCAATCATGAGAAGTACCTGCCAAAGGGACTCCTTAATGTCATTATTAAATGTCACTGCAGGTATTATTATACCTTAAAGGCATTATGGAATGGCTTATCCATTAATAGTAAACAAAGAAATCTAAAATATGTGTCATGTTACTATAAGACATAAAGATCTGCCATTTTTACTGTAAGAGCTGGAACATATGATTCTTTGTCTTTTCTTACTTACTTATAATAAAACAGTAAATGACACCAATACTTGTAACTAACTGCATGTAAATCAAAACATGCAAAATTATATTTAACTATATCTTTGAATACAACAAAGGTACAGATATATCACCATTGTTACTGCTGCAATTGCATCCTTTTCTACCAGATTTTGTCTCCACAGAGACGTATTCACTACATACTGACACAGCAGCAGACAGATAGTGCTATGATGCATTTGCTACAATATATGTTGATGTGCACCTTAAATACAGGTATGTAAGGACTCTTTGAGTTTATGAAATGTTACCATGGCAACCATCAAATCCACACATCCTTGTATTCAACATGTGACCAAGGTCCTCTGATGAAAGGTCGATAATGGCATGCTTCAATTGGAAGAAAACATGTTCTGTCTCTTTAGAAACTGTTTCACTTTTCTTTTTTTTATCCTCATTACACAACAAGCACCATTGCCAAGCCACTCTCACTCTCCTCTTGCCAGTGTTTCAGCTATCATTCACCAAGATGCCATGTGATTCATCTCTAGTGTGAACAGAATCAATAATCCGCACTCTTTACAAATGTCAACATATTCAAATCAACTGACAATGCCTTGTGAATGAGACTCCTAGTGGGAGGGGGTGATCTCTATATTCTAAGTGAATCTATAGCATTTTATTCCAAGATATTTACAAGCTCTGCAATATATGATTTCTTGAACTGAGGCAACTGACCTTGAGAGAAATATCTCCTTTTCTATTCTGTCTTATCCGCTCCACCCCCCCCCCCCCTAAAAAAGGCTAAAATTAAGGCTTGCAGCAAGAAATATTTATACAGTATAAGGTCATGTCCTCTTTTAATAAGGACCTTCAATTCAATATATATCTATTGCAATTACCACTTTTATCAAAGATTCTTGTTATCTCTTTTTCCAAATTCCATCTATGAAACTGTGAGTCACACTGTCACAAAGAAGTCACAATAACTAGGTGTCACACTTATAAATCAAATTCTGGTCACCAAGAAGTCCCCCAGCTATGGACTGCTGAAGGCCTTTCCTATATAATACCCCACACTCCCGTCTTGGCTTCATTACTCAGATCAATTACAGTCTACAGCTAATTACCGACTTCATTATCATTCAAACTCCAGTGAACAAACCAATAACTTAATCCTCACCCTCTCTCTGGAGGGCTCACTCTTGTTGTGTTTATGTTCTGACCATATATATACAGACTCCAGGGCACCTTGACCGCATTCACAACCAAAACTGATCCGTGGACAAACAGGTCCATGGATCAAATATGGCCGATCAACTTGTTCTGAACGCACCCTTTCATTGGCATACCTGGAGCCTAGCCAGATAGATTCTTATTCAGCATATTAAAGAATCAAATTACAAATTGTTCTTAGTATTGTGTCCCACATCAGAGGTACAAAAGATTTTTTGGGACAGAATTTTAGACCAAAATTTGGTCCCAACTTCAGTTCTGGACAAATCTGCAGCCATCTCTTCCAAACCAGAGAAACTAATCTGAAAATCTGCCCAATTTTCTGAATATGAATTGCAATTTAGCATGAGAATATTCCTATGTCATAAATCAGGGGAAAAGTCTGGCATTTTGTGAAAAACCTCTGAAAATATGGCATTGGTTCCAGACCTACCCTTTCCCCTCCTAAGTATTTATTGCAGATCTGCATCTATCTAAAAAATTATAATTTTGGTTCCCAATCAAGTCAGAAAAATCTCATCCCTGATAAATATCTTCAAGCCTTGTCTGGAAATGCACCGAGAGTCCTGAATATGGATTGCCATTTTGCATGAGGTGCTCTGCATGACATAATTGACTGTGAGCAATGATCAAACTCTGGTGACAGGCTCCCACATTAGTGACACATCCAATTAAACTCCTTGCAAAAAATCAAGAGGCTGGATTAATGAGTCAGTCAATATAAATTCATCTCAGTGTGGGATGTGTTTCTCCAAATAAGCAGACTATATTGGGTTTTAGTACATTGTTAACACAGCATCCAGGGGCAGGATTTATGACTGGTAGTTTTCCAGGTAAAAAAAAATGTCCCTGTGCTGAGATAGCATTACATCTAATAAAGAGAAATCACCTGGAAGTGAGAGAGGAAGACAAGAAGTAGGTGACCATCCCCACTACCATGTAAACTATTATAGGATTGTCTTGAATCAGGAGCAGACTAACTGAAAACAATCAGTAACACATTTGCTTAAAGAGACACACAAGATATTCATGCAATAAAAAATAAAATTATTATTTTATTACTATCTTTATTATTTTTTCCTGAACATTTTAGCACATTTTTCCTAATCACCAAGGCAAACTCGATCTGCCCCAAACTCTGGTAAAAATTGCATTTCCCCAGTTCAAAATTTCTGATCTCTCCCTCCACAATAATTATCCATCCATCTTCATCTCACTAACGAGAATGACAAAAAATTAGAAATCTAGAACCAAAAATCGAGTTTATAGACCATAATTTGCATGGATATCATCAATAACAATTACTTACCACATAATAAACTCATTTCCAGGCTTCTGATTATGTACCTGACATACCAACCAACATTAAAGAACTTACCTATTTCCTTCCAGGAAAATCTCTTAGGCTACGACAAGAGTTGGGTTTCACTGTAGAAAATCAATTTCCTCAATTTCAGTCAGAGAAATTAAATGACAACCTGTGATTACCAGGAGACTTAGCAGACAACATGCATGTTTTCGTGAAAGCTCAACTCTGCGGAGAAACCCTAGCTGATCATGAGTCACTCAAGGGATTAAAAAATCAATAAAATCCATCAAAGTACTCTGATATTATGATATTTTAAAAGGGTACTTTTAGTAACATTGCTGCTAGCTTTCTTTATCTGCTAGAGGTATTTGCTGAACTCCTGCAGCAAAGATTGCAATACGAAGTCAAGTCTCACTCTGAGCCATCAAAGATTTCCACTGTGCAATGTCATTCAAGTCAAAAATTTCAACTCCATATACTGAGCACCTACTGCACCATCCAAAGGCATTTTTTGTCGGATCACAAACTATTGCCTCTTTAATCCAAAGTGACAACTAATACCCAACTATTTTTTTTTATATAAATCATCTTATCAGGTTTTGTCACAGGTAGAGCATGATCTCAATGTGTTTACCCATAACAGAATGGTTCTAAAACTAAAAATAAACCCATCTTAAATTTTTTTGTTAGTATCTGAAGTCAGTCACTGGTGCACTGACACCAAACTATTGACTAAGGCAAACTGGTTTCGACACAATATTATATTATGGGTGCATATTAAATTATGATTCTCAATTAAGTTGCTCACATTCCCCCTGCTGAACAACTTTCGACCCCATTTGAAGGCGCATAATTCTATTTGGGAAATGTGCACTTGACTTACAAAAGGTGTCCGCTTCCAGTCTGGAATTTCATGTGCAAATCACCGCCAGTTATGACAGCAGACCTGTGTAACTCTCAAAAATTACAGCAATGTCTTTTAAGTCGCCGCAGAGTCGTGGAACATGATTGACAGGCATAATTCCAATCTTTCTTCTTTGCCCTTTTCCATCTCCTTGAGCAAACTAATTCCTCTGTTCACCAAGCAGCAACATTCAAATTACGCAATTTGCTCTGCGAAGCAAATACAAAGCCACTGTTTTGAATTGGACACAAAGGCAAACATGATTGACAGGCGTAATTCCACACTTAACTTTAAGTCCTTCAGACTAGAGTGAGCAATCGTTCTGGCAGAAATGTCATCAAACCGTGTGCAGTCACCAGAACTGACAGTGCTCATTCCGTCCCTGATCCGCTCTTTCATATCGCAATTCAGACTCCGCCAAGTGTGTGCCCTCTCATCTACTCTAATGTGACAAAACACTCATTGTTCCCAGCTATCCCTGCTTCACTGATAGGAACACCTCCGGGGCTTGGGGGCCAGGCCCACAATAGAAACATTCAAGTGAACTCTGCAGCCTCGCAGAATGGAAGAAAGAAACATTTGGATACAGGGTATAGTCCTGGAGTATAGACGTGACATAATGGGGGGAAAATACTGCTCCATTCTGGAACGGTTGGCTTAAGTTCACACAAAGGGGCATTGCATTCAGATTTCAATGCGTGGCGCCGGGGTCTTTAGTGTTTCCCCCTACCCCTCACCTGCATTGGCATAGGAAGAGAAACAAGCACACGTGCACAAGCCAGGAAATAACCGCAGCAGATGCAAACATCGAATGAATTTAAGGGCAGTTGTCTGAGAACCAAACTTGATTCACTTGGTTAACTTCCCACACTCAAAAGAACAGTGAAAGGAGTAGTTAACCGCTCCAACAAACCCACGATTCCAAATGTTCCTCGAAAAAGACACTGAATCCAATTTTCCCATATTTGTTTTGCAATCTTGAAAAGATCATTTGGTGCTTTCCAGGTAAGCAGAACATCTTTTAACAAGGCTGCAAATAAGGTGTCACTTTCAAAGCGATAGGAAGTTACCACTCACAGACAACCTGCACTAGCTACTATTCTAGAATCTCTCTTTCATGCACAGTGGTCAATTTCTCTCTCATCTGACAAAAATAACCTTCATTTTATTTTCACATTTTTAAGTTTAATAATTATTGCACATCAAAAATAAAACAAAATGTTTCACTTGATTCATCTTTTAACATTCTGTCCACTGACTATTTCATCGAGGAAAAGAAAGTCTAAATAT